ACGATCTACTTGTGCCGTTCTGGAAAGCACTAATAGTTATTTATGTAACTCGTCCATAAGGACTGATACAGGACGTGGGGTCTCATAACATTCTTCAACGAGTGCATAATGATGGCTCACGAGTTAATGTTTACAACACGAGCAACGTAGGAGTGAGTGTCAATTTCTACGAGGGAATAATAGTAATAATTACATTAAACTTAACATACAATAGTGTATATTTTCTTCACCGCTGGATTGAAATCATTTGGGTAGAGAGGGTATACTAGTATTGAAATCAGCCACTAGATTTTATGGAGCAATGCCAATCTCTGGAAAATCAATCACGCCTTCTCAACATTCAAAATAATTTCCGTTCTAACTTTCTCAGGATATCGAGGTATCTCCTGTGATGGATCTTCACCTTCTCTGGTCATGTCTTTAGATTTCTTTGAGAAAACCACGGACTAAAGTTCTCGCCTTCTACAGAAAAGTTTATATTTCGCGCCAGTGAGACTTGGTTGGAACGTTATCGTCAGTGCTCGCTGCGAGCTTCTGCCTTCAATTGTTTGTTGGGACAAAACAAGGTCATCAGTCAAGAAAAGTTCCGTAATTAATATGTACAATGTGCTTCTTAACATTGGGTAAATCTTCCGTAAACTAGAGGGTCTATACTGTTAAAGTTTTGTTAAGTAAGCCAAGAATATGTTCTCGTTAAAGGAATTCATTCTATTACTCTTTCTCCACTCCATAAATGTTGTAATTGATTGTTCATAATAGTTCTTGATTTTTCTGGCAATAATCGAATATGTCGAATTCGATATTTCTTGAATTTCATATGGAGTACAAATTTCATTGTCACTGTCGCTAGAATCCAGATTTATTTTCTGTTTTATAATCAATTCAAACTGTAACGAGAAATACGAGTACAACAATTACGTACATGAAACTGCGAAATTATTCACTTGTCTACAGCGGTTCAAAAGAAGCGCCAAGATAATGCAATTCTGAACTGGAATCCAATCGATGCCATTCGTCGTTTAAATATGCAGCAGGAATGTGTATTATTAAATGGTCGTAGAGAAAATGTTTTATGTAATTTTTAGTTAATAACAATAAACATTTAACGCTTTAATGGGTTTAGAAATATTGTGACTGTCAATGTTTTGTAGCAATGATTTGTAGTACAGGGTCTAAGTACTGTCTTTAAATAATCGCTGTGCGCAGAAAGAACAAAAGGACAAAATTGAAAAAGGGGCAAACGGAGAAGGGAGACAAAAGGACAATTATAACGAGACAAAATGGACGAAGAGGGACAAAAGGGAATTATTTATCCAAAGAATAATGAGTACTAAAATCTAAACCAGTCCGAGAAAATATGTTTAATGGACGCTGGAGCATTTTAACGGCGGTTGCTGTGACGTTTTAATGTGGACGTAAATTTGATGGAATTTTAAAATTTTGTTCTCTATGGCAATGGCGGAAATCAATGATTTTTGCATAGGAGAAATTATTGCCAAGTCATGGTAACGAAAAAGTGGACAAACCTTGTTCCTAGTATACGCATTAAATTACTTCCTCTTAACGCGTTGTGTAATCCGAATCCATGTTCGACGGGGCTATTTTTGTCGCTTCATTGCAGTTTTCTATACAATAACTTACACAATTTTCTATATTACTTTCCTTCATGGCTGTGTTTGTAATAAGGACGTAACAAGTACCCAAAACTACGAGATGTGTGGCTTACACAAGAGCTCTTAAAAAGGTTTTTTTTTTCTTCTTCTTTGCTTTCCCAAGCAAAATACAGGACATTTGGGCCACCCGACAAAGTTTCTCAGGACCACTCAGAAAAACGGTATGATACTTTTTTTACTGGGATTACACTGGGCTAAACTTGTCCGCCTACAAACATGTCTGTAGTCAACTCTAAAATGTAATCCGTTGAAACAAATATTTTGATTTTTAAGGGGTATTTACACAAAGCCTTAACATTTTCAAAATTTTCTCAAATGTCTCAATTTTTTATTAAACTGTCTCCTAATAGCACTTTAAAATAAGATGGGATTAAATTTCGTTGGCATGATTTTATGAAAATTGCTAGACTACAAAACTGAAGCCAAAGATTTTTTTCCTTATTGAAATCTATTGTTCAAAGACAAATCTGAAAAGGTCATTTACAATTTTTCAAAAATATGAATAGGTTTTGCATGTTTTTGTGTGAAATTCGCAATGTTGTATGCAAACAATGAATGCAATTTTTAAACCACAATTCTCTAAAAAAAGGCTGCAAATTTTCTTTTTAAATGTTCTTCTCATATGCATCAATGAGCAGTGAAGAAAGCACTGGTCCCATTTTTTGGCAAACCCTTCATTTTTTAAAAACTGCAAAATATTTATACTGCAGAAGTACACAATTGGGGATAAAGACAATTGTCTGAAATGGCATTTGTTCTAAAAAAATCTTATCTTCAAAAAATATCATATATGTTGCATGTATGATTTTCCAAAAATTGAGAAAGTTAGAATTAATGTGAAAAAGTATGTGCTATTGAACCACTGCTAGTTTTCACATTTTAGGAATTTGGTTCTCTAACGAAGTCAGGCTTTCTTCACAGAAATGCGAAATCCACATAATACGTAAATAAATGACCCATATTTTTTATTACAATGTAATAAATATTATGCACAAGAACTTGCATAACTGTATATGTTAATAAGTTTAAAATTGTGTCACAAGAACGAACACAAGAAAATAATTTATTGCATATTTGTAGAAGAAAATATAAAATAAACACTAGAGGAGAGTGAAAACAAGAAATAGAAACCAAAAGGAGGAAAACAAAATTCTCAGAATACAAGAAGGAAGAAACAAACCTCTTAATAAGAAACTGCTGTAAGTTACATGAAACACTTTAACAAAGAAATTATCACAATAAAGCAAATTCCTAAATTACAAACTAAAATCATGATTGTGACTACATACTTTCAAACAGTGTTTTCAGGGCAAGAGTACTTTGTTCTCTCGACATGAGGAATATAGCACACTAACTGGACTCAAGCTAATCTCATTACAAGAAGCAATCTGCTTCTGAGTGATATCAATTTACATTCAAGGGTTCCCAAAATATGAAAGCAAAGAAAATTTATACCAAGTTACCAGTTACCAATCACTAGGATATGATTTATGAATACTGATTTCATTAAATACTTAAAGGATTTCAATCTATTTAACACAATTTAAAAATTGCCAAATCCAACATAAGAGCAATTTATTCAACCTAATTGCCTACTGACCTGTAACAATTATGCTAATGCTCTACTGTAATTGCCTTTCACTATTCCACCATTATTCAAGATTTGTAAAATTGTTGGAAGTAAACGAGTCTTGTATTGTAACATGGTAAATTTTCATACAATTGTTTAATGTTACACTATTTTTTTAATTGTTGTGAATTACAATATTAACATTTTGCTATACTTTAGTGGAATTCTGTAAAAGTGTTTTCTGCAATCTCATTGTCACTGATAATTATTTGTCTCTTAATGTATGAAGGATTCCGCTAATTTTGAAAATGTTTCTGAAAAAGGAAAAGGCTTCCTAATTACCCCAAGATGTTGATGCAAAAAGGTTTTCAAATAAATAAAAAGAACACTTCAAATGATCTACCATGTTTAAGTAAATTATACTTAACATCTCAACCTACATTTTTACTGCACTGTCAACAAAACAAAACTGGTATCCATTGGATCACATGACATTAAGATATGGGTCAATGCATGCATTAAGAATTCTAAATGACAAGAAGTGGGTGAAAACTCAAGAAAGGAACTCTTATCAAATCACCTGCAAGGCTGACAAGATGGAGGAATAAAGAATTTCTAAGCAGTTCTTTTTATTTTCAGTTCCAATGACATGGAAATGTTCGATTTTAACTAGACAAGAGTAACACAACCTGTATGATTCATGAAGAAGAATTAATAACTCAAAGCAAAAGGAATACCATATTCTAAAAAAAGACCAAAAAGAAAAATAAACCTTCCTGATAATTCTTGCAGGATACTCTGCACACCTTGATGTAGGACAGTAAAAGACTTTACACAATGAGCAATGTAAATTGATGGGCTGAAATGTTTTTGAACAAATCAGAAAATAATTCATTTTAGTAACATGAGCCAGATTATATAATCTTGGAATATGGAGATCAGTGGAATCTTAAAATTACATCTACTTATTCCATTCATCAAAAGAATCTGAAAGTGTCCATTTTAATCACATTCCTATTCCCTCAGAGAAACAGCAGAAAACACTCATTGAAACTAAACCAATTAAAGAAATGTAAAGTGGTGCACACAAATATCAGTTCACAATGACATAGACTTGCATAATAATAAAGATATAATACCTTCAAAAATAAAATATGTTTTATGACCTAAATACCTGACAAACAGAGAAGCAACTATTTCTACACAATGTATTAATTGCAATACAATATTCCAGAGTTCTCTTTTTTCATTTGAATCCAAAATAAACATTTTAATTTTAATTGGGTGTTTCATAAAAGTTGATTGAAGTCAATCATAATTTTTAATACACTATCATTCCCCAGGACCTAAAACATACTTCTCATACAGACAGTAAGCTATCCCCAAAAGTAAAAGTTCCTGACAAAGTAGTTTTACTGAGAATGTAATTGCAATGAAAATTTTACGACAAAAGAAAGTTTGCAAGCAAAGGTACAAATCCTGCAAATGAAGATCCACAGGAGGTTAGCACAAAGATTTCACCATATCTATACATACCCTTAAACTCCTTTCTCAAAGAATGTCAATTCAAACAACTTAAGAACTTGGTAACATAAATTTTACGACACATATGAAATTATCTCAATACTCCTTGAAAATTCACCATCATATCAATAAAAATTATGATGGCTATCCAATTATCTACATAGCTAAAACCAATTAAAAACAATGAGGAAATAGGTACTATTTAATTGGAACAAAGGGGAAAAAAGACACACCCTCTGGGTCTGATTTCTTGAAGCAATTGGCAGCATCCACATAGTTGGTAGCAGCATCATGCCTACTTCCAGCTTTGCCATGTAATTCTGCAGCATGTGTGAAAGCTTGACCTGCAGAACCCCATTTTTTGGCCATTTTGAACATATTTGCTGCTCGTTGGTAACATTCTACAGCTTCCTCAACTTTGGATGAACCTCTGAAGAAAAATGATAATAAATGTCACTCGTATGATTTACGACTGTCAGGCACTTAATGCAGTTAAAGACAAATGTAAATGACAAAATTAATGTTAGATATCCATGTGAGCACAAAACTGTAAAATCTTTCAAGTTAGTGACGTTGAAAATGACAACACAATTGTACGATAAATCGAAATGAATATGCCACACTCACCCAAAAAGTGATCCGAAGAATCCTTTAGATGAAGTAAGCTTCTTTTGTGCTTCAGCAATAAGCTGAAGTGCTTTTTGTTCATTATCAGCCATTATCGCATATATTTACTACAAAATTCACCTTACCTTAACACAGCCTCTTATTGACAAAATGCGTCTGACTTCCTCCACTAGAGAGCAACACAATCTGTTGTGACTTCCAGCGCATGAGCAGAAGAGCAGCGCATGAGTAGCGCTTATAGCATCCAGTGGAAACTACCCGAACGATGTAATTCTAAATTTGACAGTAAAGTTCTTCCAATGACCGCTAGGTTCTCGCTTTTCAGAGATTCAGGATCAGACGCAAAATTATTACAAATACCTGTAATTTCAGATGAGTAATTTTAAGCATAAATTTCATTAAATATTTTCTTCTTAATACTAACTATAAATTATTATTTTTCCAATCCAACCTTAGAGACAGTATTCTTTTCAGTCAGTTTGCTTTACAGCCTCTATTTTAATAATAATAACAATAATAATAATAATAATAATAATAATAATAATAATAATAACAGCAACAACCTCGTGTGAGAGCGTAGGCTTCCGTGGCCGGAGTCAGTACTTACTTGACTATCCGAGACACGCCGCGTCTAGGACACAGATGCCAACGTTTCGGTCGCCATTCTGCGACCTTCATCAGGGCGTAGTTCTTGTTATTAAACCTCGTGTGGTGACCGGGGCGTTTAGTACGTAGAATAGCACCATGGGTAATCCTCCCCCCCCTCTCGTAAGAAGTGACCTACTCCTTACCCGAATAATTTCTTTCGTGTCGTACAACCCTTCCCTCCCCGTCCCAGGAGCCAATGGGTGGTCTGAGTAGCTCCGAGGTCCCTGATACATATCCTAAGTAATTCTGTTCTTTTTTCTTCCTTAAACCTACTCCCAGCCCTCACCTGATCCGGGGCAGAGTGGATGCCAATGGTCTCTGGCAGCAGGGTTGAAATGCTACGAGAAGGACACTTCGAATAGAAAACCAATGACTATATATTATCTATCTGTAGGCCTAAACGACGACAATTCATTTGAGTAATTCGTTTGCGGTTGAGATATTCATTCCCATGAACACGCAGACAACCCATACATGAGTAGTCTATAGTAACAATTGCACTTGGAAGTGCAAATGCTGAGCCTATTATGCCTGCGCAATATCTACATTACAACCTTTTGGGAATTTTATCCAGAATGAGATTTGTTATTTATTGTTTGTATAACATTTAGTATTTATTTATTTACGTCAGAAACAGTAAAAAAAACTGAGTGTGACGTGCTATGGGGAGAAGTTAATTTGAAGGTACATTTATGTCCAGAAGTAAAACAAGGGGCCATTTCAGCATTTGCTAGAGGACCAGGGAAACTGGACGAAAACCTGATCGAGATGGGGGTCATTCACCCAGAAGCTGAAGTACAATACTTGTTACAGGTTCTTTACAATTATACAATCCAAATGGTATAAAATATATTAAATGTCATTGTTAAAATTAATATTACTTTCCTTTTGGATGCTCGGTAAAGTCTCTAATTGTATAGAAACAGTTGTGCAGCAGAAATTATTTTACTTGGGACTTGAACTTTTGTATCGAATTTAATTGTTTAATGTCATCTGGAATAATGTCATCTGCACATGTTTTGTATGTGAATTTTTTGTAGTGGGCTGTTGATACTGTCACCTGATGAACATGATTACTACGTCGAGTGTTGTAATTATAGATATTAACGTTTGCTGAAAATATATGCCCGCCCTTAAGTAAGTCGTTTTTGACAAAAAACACTCATTCATATATCAAGAGACAAAGTAATGTTAAGATACCTAGATTAATAAAGAGAGGCTTACAAGAATCACGTGGGTGGGATTTCCTTATTATTCGTACAATTCGTTTTTGTACTCTAAAAGTCTGGGAGGTATAAGATGTATTTCCCCAGAATATTATGCCATATCTCAGGCGGGAATGAACATTCGCGAACATTTATTCATGGATGAGGATGCAAAAATTTCATTCATGGATGAGGCGACATCTTTAAGAAAAAATAATATGGTTTCCATTCGTACGTAAAAAAGTATCTCTAATATTTTTTAAGAAAACGACAGAAGATAAATTAGCCAATAATGTTGAATTTAATTCTTGTTGCCTTTTTTGAAAAGCGGCTTAATCTTAGCTGTTTTAAAAATATCTGAAAAACTCTTGTGCATAAGGATACACAAATATATGAGTTAAGTGGTGTACAATGGCGGGCGCACAAGTCTTTAACAAAAAAAATTCGGAAATTCATCAAATCCGGTGAATACTTATTTTTTATTCTACTGATTATTTTGAGAATTTCATTGGAAGAAGTTTTGGAAACGAACATCGTGTCTCAAAGTTTTGGGGAAATTCCTTATGTTAAATATTGTGGCTGAAGACCCTTAATTGAGATCGGCAGCAATTCTCGAAAAGTATTGGTTAAAGAGACTAGCCACTGTTGCCTGTCTACCCACTGCCTGTTGACTACCCAGTGTCACATTTCTATCGTTATCTTTTAAAACAACATTCTCCACAAGATTTCTAGTTGATTCGTCGATTTTTTTACTATATTCCACATAGATTTTGTTTTATTATTTGAGTTCAAAATACCCTGATCATGTTTCATGATTTTAGCCTGCCTTATAGTTTTTCTTGACAATGATTTAATTTTTTAATATAGTCTAATAATTCTGTATTTTTTATTTTTGTGTCTGTTGAGCTAGAGGTATTGTTTTCGATACTATGGAATGACGAACACTGATGTGTTTTGCTATTCTAATTTGGAAACCTAGGTCATTTACAACCCCCCCGAAAATGTCTAGTCTTTGAACGTTCATCACAGAACAACCTCTTGTTTCGATGGATTCACCAAGTGTTCTAATAACCACTCTACATCCTCCTCTCTCTCAAATCGAAACAATTCCTGATAATCAGTCCTGCAAGTTATACGCTTGCTATGTTTTTGTCGTGCTCGTAAATTCAAGAATGCATCTACCACTGCACAATGAAATCACAAATGTTGTTATCCCGAAAACACTTGCCGTGTTTGGAAACTCACTTTAAAAAAGTGTAATTTCATTCACAAAAGCCTAAACTCAAGTATGAAAGATTTCTTAAGTGCGGTCTGCACCGTGATTAAAATAATCGTAGTATTTACTTATGAAATGAAGTAAAAGCTCAGTTTTATTCACGTCATTTTAAGTAAATTCTGGAAAAATAAGTTCTAACAAAAAGATTAATAATTTACTATAAGTACAATTTACTGTAAGTAGAATTTACTATAAGCCAGTACAGTCGACTCCGGTTACAGTGAACTCGGTTATAGTGAACTTAAGTCACTGATCCCGTTCCACTTACGAGAAGCACAAGAAGACTCGGTTATAGTTAACTCTGAACCTCGTCTATAGTGAATGAAGGAGAGACGACTGGAAATTAATTCCATCATGGAAAAAAGTATCGTCTCAACGCCACAAATTCCAACACTAGGCAGGTTGGAAAAAATGGCGTTTGCCATAGGTCGTAATGAATGGAGTCTCCCCTAAGGTGGAGGTAGCGGACCTGGAATGAAGACCTTACTGAAGACCTTGGGTCAACCAGTTTCTCTGCGGGAACAAAGACCGTGTCCTGCGTGGGCTACAATTAGCAGCAGTAACGCGCGATTGCTTGCTTCAGTTTCACGCCTGATGTTTCTTGAGATTCCGCGGGACAAAACGCGTGGCGTTCTACGTAGGCTACAACCTTAAAGCGCGGCGCGACACCCGCCGCACCGCGCGGAAAAACGATCTTTTTAATAAGCCGCTTGCGCCATGTCGCTAACGAAAGGGTCTTGTATGTTATTAGGCGAGTAAAAGAGCCTTCGGAGAGTGGGACGGTGTTCCAACTGAGCATGAGGCGTTGGAGGGTGTCAAGACTGCATTACGATATAGACGTGTACAAACCAGGATCATGTAGGAGAAAGCACGAACTCTGAAGAAGGATCTAGAGAAATTGGTAATGAGAAATGTTCAAAGCAATTGAAAATCATTGATTTTATAAGATTAAATAAAGGTATTGAAATTTTCAGTTCATACTGTTACCAATGTATTTTGCTGCATCTCTATAAATATCAATAATCGTAGAGAAATTCTATTTGGTTTTGACATTATCGGATATAATGAATCTTTGATATAGTGAACCAAAACTGTTAGTCCTTAGAAGTTCACTATAACCGAAATCGACAATACTTAAGTTTTATTCACCGGAACATACATATTTACTTCAAAAGCTGAAAGTATAAGCATTTGCCAGTGGCGTAGGCTCAATGCATGCGAGTGATGTGTTACATCCCCTAGTTTTCCATTACTTAGAAATATTTTCAGAAATGTATTTTACATTCTTCCGTAAGTATCTCTCTTTGTTTCTCTAATCCCTCTCGCCATTTACGTGCGCTGTCTAATCGGCGTTAATCCCCTCGCTGGATGTGACAGACCGAGAAACATCCCTTGGACGACCTCGCTTCGTGGGCGAGGTCATTGAACGCACGGCCATGCTCTGGGTGCAAGCGTGTGGTTTCGACTGCCGGAGATGTGGCATTGCCTCTCACATCACAGACTTCTGACTTCTCATTTGCGATTGGGAAACCTTAGACTCACTGCAGTTTCCCCCCCACCATCGTCTAGCCTAACGGTGACGTCACGGCTGGGTGTTTGCTATTGG